CGTGTCTATGGACATGCTCCAGACGGTCAGCCGGCAGTGAAAGTGCAAAGATACGCATCCAATATAAATTTTACCGTGAATTTATTGCATAGCCCACTTGATGTGACCCATTTCAATATTCTCTGCGGTCCTTCAAATGGGATGGAGCTGTTAAAATTATTTGAGAGGGCACTGAATGAAGAAGTAGTAAATGGTCAGCCATTTATTGGAGAAGGCCATACTGTTGTGATGGACAATTGTGGTTTTCATCATGGTAATTTCACCAAACGCATTCTCCGCGAGATGCTCGATGCCAGACAAGTCACTCTCTTGTTTCAGCCTCCATATAGCCCACAATTTAATACCTGTGAGCTTTGTTTTCGGCATCTAAAACGAGTATTGCAAAGAAATGACGTATTTGCTAATCGGTTCACTGAACTCGCTATTCTGGATGCTCTGGACATGAGCACGCCAGAACTTTCTAGAAGTTACTTCCGACATTGCGGATTTTTAATATAGTCTGCTATATACTAAGAAAACCTAAACAAAGTGGCCCTTTTCAGGGCCACTACATCCTCCAAGAGAGATATACCGTTCTATAGTATAATATTTATATTTAAGACAATTCGCGATGGGCTTCTTTCGCGATCAGTAATATTTACGAAAATTTGTGTTCATTATTTTATACACTGGCTTGACAATTGCCAATTCCCATCACCAATTAGACAATGTCACAGCATTTCGGCTATTTTTTCAACAAATCCAAAATCACTCTTGATAATTTTGTTTACTTTACACATGTACTATGACTACAGGGAAACCTCTTATACATTACAACGAGTCGGCATCAGCGAGATTCGAAAGCTAAGCAGTTAGCCAATTCGTTAACGAGTTTGCAAATTGGCTGCCCCAATACTTCTGAGACTCGCTGTAATAATAAACAAAACAAGCACACTGAGAGAAATGTGCTAACTTGAGCTTACTTACACTGCCCACATTGAGTCGAGTGGCACCCCCTCTTAAAAATGAGTTGATCCAAAGGGGTCAAGTAAGATAACAATCTTCAGACACATACACCAAAGCAGTCGGCAACTTAGCTGGCAATGTTGCTGTTTTTGTGTTTGGAACAATATGGCGATGACAGTAAGCTGCCAAATCTTGCTTTCTGAAGCACATGTTAAATATCACTTAATAGCTCATTTAAAAAATGTGCATCTTATCTTTAAACATAAAGCATATACAATGTACTAGATTCTAGCCACCATTTTCCAATCACTTCTCCATAAATTTGATTGCAGTGCAGAGCAGCCAGAACTTTTTGTTATGATTACATTTTGTTTTGAGTTAATATATCCAATACAAAGCAAAAGATAGCATATACCAGTAGCTGTGATTATATGAACAGCATGAGCATATTTTTCAATTAGGTAGTATTTAAAATGCACTTAAAAGACAGAGTTGTGTATATAATCCAGCATATTATAAATTTGTGCTTGTTATAGTGATGCAATTCCAATTGAGAAAATATGGCATAAACTAAACACTGTTTATGACACACTTCATAAAGTGGTACAAAAAATGTACTTGGCAACAAGTGGGTAGGGGGACATGCCAATGGAACCAATCTGTCTGAATAAAACTGAAAAACATTATTAGAAGGAATGTACATAGCTCTTCCATTATTTGCTTTATCATTTCACTATTAAATCATGTCTAAGATTTCTACTACACCACCTTTCTCTATATGCAAAACCAAAGTATATGACATGATCAGTGAGAGTGATAATCAGTTTGTTACCTGGGTAACGGTAGTTCCTACAGGTGAGTTTTCAGCAACAGTAGGATTATAGTTAGCACAGTTATGAAAAATTGGTCTGTTATTGTTGACATCATTCACTTCAATTATTACCAAAGCTTGACTTGTGTGTATGGTACCAAGGCCATCGCAACAAGAGCTGTCGTCTGTGGCAGTCACATTGATTAGATAAGATGCTTGCGTCAAATCTTGTGTTGCCCTGAGTGATATCACACCTAGAAAATAAAACATAGCATAGCAATTCTAACTATGCCCTAGATACTGCACATACTGCCTGGTATGTAATATATATCTGAAAACAATGTTGCGAGAAAATACTCAAATTTTAGTAGGAATAATTCATACTAAATGACAAGTTATTGCATTACATAGTCCCTACAAGTTCTCAAGTTTGAGAAATATATAAAGTTTAAACATGAATGTTCATTGCATGTCAGAAATATGGCTCGAGAGCCTTGTTGAACGAAATAATGTGCATCAAGATCCTATAACATTCAATGTCACATCTGAGAAAGTGAGAAAAGTAGTTTTTGATAAATTAACATTAAATGGCCACCATTCAGCCATGTTAAATCTGATCACCAAACAAATAAATGTACACATGTGAAACATGGTGTATTTGTCTATATGAAATTTAAACATTGTCAGTCAGGGAATGTCACCAATTTTGATCAGAAAAACAAAATGATATGCACTAAAGTTCCATAATGTCTAATGTCTGTACTAATTATGAACAAAAAGTTGCTCGTATACAACTGAGATCTGGTTTCGAAATGGCAGAAAGGCTTGATTTTGATGAATTTTTAGCACTAAAATACCCGGTCATTTCGACCATGCAATTATTTGGCAGATTTTCATGATTTAATTGCCTTTAAAATTCTGCCCAATCGTAGAATTGTGATTTTTTGATTCTTCAATATTTTATCTTACAATTAGGCACAAGTTTAACTGATGAGATATGAATTAATGCAACAAACTAATTAGAATACCGCATGGTTTTGTCGTCTGTTTCACAAACAACAATTTCTGATGGGAATATTATTATTATTGGAGTACAGTCATTTGGTGTTGATGTTTTTATTAATGAACGATTTTCAATTTTTGTAAGGTAAAGCAAATATTGAAAGAGTTTCAACAACTTTCATGATGATAATAGTTGAAATGAATTTCATTTTTTCATGGAATAAACTGTGAGTGTTTTCTTGTCAGCATTATAAACATAAAATGAAGCAAATAAAATACATTTCAATTATTCTAAAAACATACAGTACGGTATTTCTAAAAAGTATGGAAAATGAATATTACATGCTGGGAACCAACCTGTATGTTTATTGATTTCAAAATTTCCGTCTTCGTTACCAGCAGAGATACCATATATCACTACATCACCATCAGGATCAGTAGCAATTACCGTGGCAACCTGAAATCCATCTGGTGCATTTTCTGCTACAAAATACTTGTATGTGTTTTGCGAAAAATGAGGCGGCTCATCATTATAATTCTTGATACGAACATTAATAGTAGCTGTACCAGTTTTACTTGGTGATCCATGGTCTTTTGCTGTTGCTATTATGGTGTACAAGCTATTGGTACTCTCATAATCCAACTTTACACTTGGCCTGATTTCTCCGAGGTTGTTTATTTGAAAAGCACTGTTATCAATAGAATAACTAAGTTGTGCGTTAGTGCCACTGTCACAGTCGGTTGCCAATACTAAGAATAAAAAAAACAAAGTTATTACACATATTATAAGTGTGACCACAAAAGTACATGTACTCGAAAGCACTTATGCTCATTTGATACATTACTTGAGTCAGTGTGCCACTAAAAAAATTAATGCATTAAAATGGCATACAAATATCCAACAGTAATATTGAAAATGCCCCTTCACCGTAGCAAACACAATGCATTGTGCATGTATTCATACCTGTTACTACTTTGACATAAGTACTGGCATCTTCAGGAAAATCTTTAACAGTGTACAAACTTTGTTCAAACCTGGGTGTGCAGTCATTTGTATCAATCACAGTTACTACCACCTACAGAGAAACAGTTGATGACATGGTCAAAGTGTTTTCTTCTTCACTTTTTCAGAAGTGACATCAAATGTATGTAACAAGGATGAACGGAACCCAAAACAAAATTTCTACCAAATTGTTGTTAAATTCTAGTGAGGGATTTTTGTAAGGGAAGTCATGGCAAATGTTCTATTATCTGTATTTATCGAAAAGTGTTTTTACAATTTGCGCACAAAAAAAGAATAATTTCCATGTGTATGCTATAAATTCGCACAATTGATAACAAGCAGCCTCTCGGCTGAGATAGCTATGCTGTTATTCATCAAAATTAGAGAATATTGCGATATCATCACGAAATGAACAAATCTGAGAGAGGTCTACCTGTAGTACCTATATGTATAACATAAAAGCAATCAGACTTGCGGTCGAAGTCGAAAATATCACTTTTTACCAAAAATGACAAAAATATTCATCAAAATTAGAGAATTAAAGATATCACCATGAAATGAACAACTTTGAAAGTGGTCGACATGTAGTACCTATATATATGTAATATCTAGGAAATTGGACTTGCAGTTTTTAACAAGGAGTCGAAAATATAACTTTTTACCAAAAATGACAAAAATATTTATCAAAATTAGAGAATTGAAGATATCATCATGAAATGAACAAATCTGAAAGAGGTCTTCATGCAGTACCTAGATATGTATTATCAAAGCAATTGGACTTGCGGCTTTTAACAAGAAGTCGAAAATATCACTTTTTACCAAAAATGACAAAAATATTCATCAAAATTAGAGAATTGAAGATAGCATCATGAAATGAACAAATCTACGAAAGGTTCACCCAAGGTACATATACACCAAATATCAAAGCATTCAGGCTTGTAGTTTTCAAGAAGAAGTCAAAAAAGTAAAACATTGACACGGACGACAGACGATGACGAACAATCACTCATATGATAAGCTCCACTCGACAAAGTTGACAGCAGACCTAAAAACTTATCCTACCAGCCACAATGTCAGTTACCGCGGCCGCGGTAATAACCCAAGCCAGAAACCCGGACAGGAAAAGGCAGAGCCGCTACATTGACATGGTCAACAGACAATCACTCATATGATAAGCTCCACGCGACAAAGTCGACAGCAGAGCTAAAAATATTATTATTGCCATAAATTTTCACAGTATGTCTGACAAAGACCAACAAGCAAAAAATTGGTACAACTTTTAAAGCTGTCCATTAAAACCTATTTGATGTGGCTCAACATACCGTACAACAGCTACAGCTATAGTTATACTTACATCAACAGAGCTGGATAGGCCATCATAACCTTCTTCTGTAGCTTCTACTTTCAGGTTATACCGTCTTGGACCTTGTTCGTAATCTAAAGCTTTATTGACTGTTATCTGACCACTTTTAGTTCCAATAGTGAAAACCATCTGATCTGATCCTAGTGATATGAATTTATAGGTGACTGCGGTGCCACGGGTGAAGGAAAATGCCTCAACACGAACCACACTGAAAAGATTTGTATATTGAAAGTCAAAAATGAGTGGAGAAGCTAAGACAAAAATGACACAGAATCTTGCTTTATCCATAGCAAAAAGAAAATTGTTCTTATGGAGATTTTCATTCTAGCATTTGAGGCTTGATATACTCATGACTGCATTGTAACACACTCAATGCTCCAGAAGTTGGGTTAAACAAGATAATACTTTTGAAACACAAAATCAAACTATGTTTTTTAGTTTACATGTGCTCTGTTGCATGGGTACTATTGCATAAAATATAGTGACACGAAGGACAGACAATATTAATGTTGAGGTGTGACATCTATACTTACACATAACCAGGTTTTGTATTTTCAGGAACGTCAACATCATATCTTTCTTTGACAAACTGTGGTGGACGTCTCCCACCAATAACAGAGACATATGCTAAAGGACTGTAGTTGACACCATCATTGGCTCTAACCCTCAGGATATACTCAAATCCCTCCTGGTATCTCTGTCCTCTTTGTAACTTGGTACGAATGGTGCCTGTGGTTTGATCCACTTCAAACAAACCTTGGTCATCTGGAGAAAAGAATGAGGTCATCAAAATGTCTTTAGATTTGTCATAGTGAGGTTAACATACCAGAACAATACAGGAAATACAGCATGAAATTATTGAAACTCAAGTAGCTATCCCACACAGAGACACCATACAGCAGCATCAACAATTTGTCTCAAAGATCCTTTTTTAGATAGGACATTTTTTTTACTTTAAATACAGAACAGAAGAGGAGCATATAATCATAAAGCATGTCTTTTGACACCTTTTCTAGACCAGTTACAGGAGATTAATATAAGAAAGAATTCAATTAAACTGGAAAGAACAGAAATAGGTAGTTTTCGGGCATTAAGCCCCCTAGATTTTGACTATTTTGGTCATTTTCATAATGAATCATAATTGAAAAAATATCAGTTGGTAACCTACAAAAAATCTCAATTTCTGTAACATGAAACAGACTTGTCAACTTTTGATGGAGCACTTTTATCCAAAATTCAACACTTTGCCCATGCACATTTCGTTATTTGCCATATTTGTTTTTTGTTACGAAACAGTATTTGATCACGGCATATTTTAAGTCTGAGCGATAAACCATACAGTTTAAAGCATAATCATGTGACTGAAAGCGAACCACATCCTGTTAGTGTCAAGCAATAATGATACAGAGTACAAATCGCATCTGATGTCAAAATTAACTGGAGCCTGTAAATTGGAGTTGCCATCTTTGAGTCAATTAAGGCGGTCATGATGTGGCGATCAAGTTAGTAGTGGGAGAAAATTTAAAATAGTACCAGAGGTACATTACTTGGGGTTTGTAACTACGGTGACATGATACCAAGATCCCGTCACAATCTCGCTCTTGTATAAACGTTCCAACTCAGAAAAAATGCGAATGCGCATGCCCGAGGTAACTAGGATACTGGGATGTCCAGGTGGATCAAAATAGCTGCCCACGATATGACGGATTACGAGAACTATATTTTCTGTACATTTTCGATGTATTACATTTTTCACTATGATAGTGACAAGAAAAGTTTATTTTTTTCATTACAAACCTTGAACATTGATATGCGTCATGTCAGAAGGTCGTAGCCTCAGTCTCGCTATCTACGAGAAGAGACTTGAATGGGATCTTGACATGATATCACCATACAGTACTATGCGAGTTGCAAACCCCAAGTAATGTACCTCTGATAGTACATTGATAAGACGTTTCCTCGAACGAATTGTGAGAGATTTATAAGATGTTCATGACATTTGATATGCTTGAATATATATGTATATAACAATTTTACCATAATTTATGTTTCTGTGTAGTTTATTATGTATTTGTAAAACAAAATAAATTCTGGTGACCAACAATCTTGTACTTGCATGGCCACCAACAATTTGAACTTAGCTGCAAATAGCAAATGGGGTTGGTCAAATTTACAATAACAACAACACAAATATTGTATCACAATGTATCAAAATTATGCAAATTAATGTAGTGTTATTGTAGTGTAGCTACAGTATATTGTACATTGATTTACTGTGAAAAAAAAAAACGCCTACATGATTCTGTAGCATTGAAATCCCCCCAAATATGGGCATGTAATTTATTAATTATTGAAGTATGGTGACCTTTGATACTAACATCATGTCTTACATGATCGGGTGTTTTTCAAACATTAAATTTTGAGATATGCAAATTTATAGTAGTAAGTAACAGGAATTGTATAGCAAATGTACTGTAGTCTATTTTTGGTAACGAAGCAGAGAAACAGACAGAGGAAGCCTGGGTAGAGACATTACAAACCACTGGAACAACAGTAGTTAGCTACAGTAAATATTTTAATCTAGGCATAACTTTTGAAACATTTTACATTTTTGGTAGTCGTTAATGCTATTCAAGAATACCATGTTTTATTGTGACCAGCGAGAATGGGTAAACTCAGTTTTGAGGTCAAGCTGATGTCACCATAAAAAGTGGTAAATACATGTTCAATGCTCGGTTTACATTTAAAAAATTACAATTTTTTTTAAAAATACAAATGTATGCTTATCGGCGATAATCGGAAATTCACAAAAACGTTTGGCTGGCTCAATCCAGGTTTTTGATTGGATAATAACCAACTTGACCTAGCAATGTGTTTGTTTTTATTGCTCTATACTTGTAATTACTAGCAAAAAAAAGCCAATGCACATTGCACAAAAAGAATTTTTAGTAGTTTTTGTTATCACAGGTAAAGTGTTTGCGACACCTATGTTAGAATCAAATCAAGTCCTTTCTCTCTCGCCTAAAGCCTAAATTACAGTGATTCCTAAATTAGAACTATTGTTATCCCCTACAGTGAAAACAAATTACTCTACAGTAAGTGAATGATGTGTTTGCTGCTCACCTGATGTAGAATCCAAGTTATAATTCAGAGAATTACTGTCAGCATCACTTGCTTGTAACTGATATATGGACACACCAGTTGGAGCATTGGTAGGTACAACTGCATTATACGGGTACACAGGCATAGACCATTGAGGAGACTCATCATTCACATCTTCAACAGTAATTACAATATGTACTTCGTTTGATACATCTGAAATAAATAACATCTTAGTAAGCAGCAATTCAATCATTTTAGAATTGGTTATAAAAGTTGGTTCAACCAATGCTAGAATTTTTACTGGATGTTTTCTTAAATTGCAGGAATTAATTTAATTAAACTCAAATTGCGATTACAGTTTTTGTGGTAACCATAAAATGTTAAATTCTATGAAATAAATCCAATTAAATATGAAAAATAATATTCATGACTTGAAGATTTAATATGAAATGAATGGTACTATTCTTTGGGTTGAAAATGACCTATGTGTCACTACAGAAGGTATTTGATTCAAGTTTTCTATTGTTACATATTTGTCCCACTGATCATCACTATGAAACACAGATACAGCATATTGACAAAAGGTCACATCACTTAGTGTTTCCCCTGCAAGATCAAGAAGCCACATATCTGAAATTTACTTCAAATTTCTCGCTTGTCAATGTAATAATTTTCAGTAAATTTTCACAGCAAATGAAGCAATTATGTTGCATACACAGTCATGATAACAGCAGAAATTGCTCCCGTGTGTCAATTAATTGCAAAATAGACGAATTAATACATGTTTTATGTATCATACAGTATTTATGTACAAAATTATTTGCATAATATTGCACGATTCCTTGTTGTCTATTTTTCATCTTGTTTTGCCAAGTTGTGTCCAGCCACTTTTCTATGGGTAAAGAGATGGTAAACATATGCATAAAAAACTGACTGCATACAAGAAACTCATATTAGATTTGTATACAAAAACAGCCAAGCATGTACAAAGTTTCAATCCACTTGAGCAAACTGCTGCAAAGACATACAATGAGCTTGCTAAAACTAATAAATTATGCAAATTAGCTAATAATTATGCACATATTATTTACGAGCTTTTTCATACAATGATCTATACAAACATCAACCATAAACAAAGTTGTAATCAATTTAATTTGTAAAGATATACATGTACAAAGTACAATTTAAAACATTAATTATGCTGATTGCACAGATTTATTCAGTCATTTAACTACAAAAACAGTACATGTACTAATATACCAAATTTCAATCCATCTGAACAAAACATGCTGAAAGTAGTTGTCTAGATTACGGTAATTTCAAAGTAGGGTTAGACACACTGTATGCAAGTACTAAAGCATTTCAATGAACAATTAGTATGACACAGATTAAACATGCTGAAACAATCTATTATTGTGCTGCGAGGGGGGCTAATCAATATTCACAGATATCTACATGCTCAGTATACACCAAATCTCAAACATTGTAGCAAACTAATTAGTATGCAATATATGCAATATATAAATTTGCATACACAGGAACCAAAAATTATTTCAACACTAAAGTCTGTTGCCTCTGCTAAGCTTAATCTTGCTTTTGTCAGAAATTGAGCAACAAATCAAATTAAACAAATTAAAATTGTGTAGTTTTGAAAAGTATCAAAAACCTATCCCAAAGTAAAAACAATGAAAAACCCTGCAGGTTTACTAATCAATATGATTATAACATAATGCACTTCCAGATTTCTGTCTGATTAATGAGAATCAAGTCAAAAGTAATGCTAATTTAGTCTGTACATGGTTCAGAATTGTCAGCGATGGAGATTACAAGATGGTCAAAACTTTCAAAAAATCTAACTAAAAATAGAATATGCATGTGCATTTACCGGTATGTAAATTACTACACTCATCGTTTCTTATTTGTTTTACTGTATTTGCTCCATCATTAGCTTATGCACTTATGTAAATGACAGAGGTATGTCTGATTGAAATAAGTCAAATTATGATCTAGCAAATAATAAATGGAATATCTCTGGTACATGAAATAGTTTTGGACAATAAATCACCATTTTAAAGCTTTACTGGGAAACACTTGAATGTGTTGGAAAAGTTGACTGAGGATACAGTATTACGGTACCAAAAACAATAAATTGCATAAATAATTTGAGAATTTGTTAGCATTCATACTGGTATCAAAATATACAACACAGGTCATGTTTGGATTACTCAATGATGATTACCCATTATTCCACCTTGTGTTTAACTGAAAATACAGAGTTAATAATTAGCTCCAGACTTACACAAAAGAGCTAAATGATTTGTTAGCGTGGTACGAATGTCTCCCGTCGACATGTTAATCCTACCATTATAAATACCATAAATATCAGAGTTGTTTATGGTCAAAGTAAGTAATATTTCAAAGATCCAGCATACAATAAATGCAATTCTTGGCTTATGTGCTCTTCTATTGGAGAAGAGATTCCAATAAAGCAAATACAGTAAATGTACTTTTTAATGCAATACCTGATTAAAATAATTTAATTTTGATTATGTCGTATATAATTGCATACTTTAATTGAAGAAGACAAGAGAAATTTAAACATCTGAGGGCCAGACATGGTTTATGATTATATATTGGGTCAACAAATAAAGTTATTGAAAAATCATTAATTATTAACGCATGCCAGTTAAAAATATGGACACCAAGTGTTGATTTAAGTTTGGTGAACAAGAATTCAGTTTTCTTGAAAAATCACAAATTTAATGACAATTACTAAATAAATATAAAAAAAGCTGCATGTCGATTTTAGAAAACAAATTATTATTACCTGTCCAGAAACATTTTTTTTTTTTGCCTGAAGTACTTATTTACATTTGTGTATTATGCATAAAATACAATAACTATTTGCTTTAGTTGTGGATCAGCTAACTAGAAATACTTGATGATAGAAGCCATCAGCAAAAATAATAACTGGTCAGTTGTTGTGACTACCGGTAATATATTACTACATCAGCTACATCTCGGTTACTAGAGGTCTTCTAGTAACTGCAGCTGCATGTATATGTGTATTAGTACAAGTGGGACTAAGTTACAACACTGCATCTTATGTTGTACGTGTTTCACTTCACATAGCCTGCTGAAGCTGTTTCTTCCCATTCATTTTGGCTATTCTTGGAGGCTTTCAGCAGAAGATGTGTTACAGCAAGTCTGAGAAGTATTGGGGCAGAAGTACGAGAGGATGGAGCAGCCTCCACAATGCAGTGACTCTTCTCTTTTATTTTATTTACAGATTGTCTCAGAAGTATTGGGGCAGCAAGTGCGCAAACTTTCTCACTAATTTGCTGACAACTATGGTTTATTTATTTATTTAATTTGGATAAAGCCAATATCAGATCATAGACATACAGCGGATATCGGATATCGAAACAAAACATTTTATATTGATGAGTTCACATATAGCCCCTCCCACATACACCATCCTGTTCCCCATATCAGTGCACTTTATGACTCAGCTCATAGTTATTACACCATGTAACTGTTTATGTTACATCAGAATACCAACACAGCTGGCCAGGTTGGAGGTGACTGATATATCTTTCAGCAAGGCTTTTTCAAAAGGCACCAATGCAAGCTCCTCAAGAATCATTGTTTATTGCTTTGGAAGATCTCTGTCTAATTCAAGTCCTGTCCAAGAGAACATTTTGTCAAAATCTTTTTTTTTTTCAAAGATTTGCCATTTGTAAAATGTAGAATGGTGTTTCATGCAATTGTGTCTTACAACTGGCACACTGATAGCGGGATTGTGGTTGAATGTAGTGATTAAAGTTACTCAAGTGCTATTAAAAACAAGTCATTGAAAATGACACAGTCCCCGTTAAGTTCTCTTTGTGCTTGTCATATTAAAGCGGAAGGGTTGTTGCGAGTGTGTCCTTGAAACTTGAGTTCCAAGTGGCATATATAACAGATTGTTTATTTACATCAAAACACGTGTTTTGTGTCGTAGAAATATGGCCAAAATAAAAACAGTAGTTATTTGGCCATCTTTGATCCGATTATGAAACACACTGATATGTATGATGTATGTGCCAAATACAAATAAAAATGATACATAAATTGTGGAAATATAGTAGTAAGGCCAAAAAGTCAGATGGCTGTCAATCGGCCATCCTTGACCAGATTTTGAAACAAATTGTCATGGACATGCATCCTAACATGTATGTGTCAAATTTGAATGAAAAGTGACAAAGCACGTCCAAGATACCGCATAAAAAAAAAAAAAAAATGCCTGCCAGTTTACCATCTTTGATCCAATTGCGAAATAAATCGTCTTGGACATGTATCCTAACATGTATAATCTATGTACCAAGTTTGAATGACAACTGACAAAGCATGTCCAAAATACAACATTTTCAAAAAACAAGATGGCTGCCAGTCGGCTATTTTGAATCGAATTGCTAAACCACTGCATGTGCATATGTCCCACATAAAGTACTAGGCACATGCAAAGAATGAACGG